GGAGGTGTTGCTTCCACCGACAACAGCCAAAGCCACATCAAGCTGGCAAAGAATCCTTGCAAACAGCATGGTTTTTCGAAAACATCAACACTAACCGCGACAGGCCCTGGCCAAATGATAGCCAGGTGCTGCCCAAAGCCTTGAAAGAGCCCATGTATTGTGTTCTCACGCAGCCGGAGTCAATCGTGGCTAAGAGATGAGTGGCTCGACAGAGCGGCCCACCTCCGAAAGAGGAAACCAGACCCCACATCTCTAGGAGGCCATCGCTAGTAGGCTAGTAGGTTGGAGGCCATCGCTCCTAGGCTTGGTTTTCAGAGAACATTCCTTTGCTTGCTGGAGAATGCTTACTTTTCCACATCTCTAGGAAAGGATGTGCTGAAACGATGCCGGGGATTGGAGGCGAGAGAAACGAGCGCACGCATGTTACGCCGCGCCGTAACACCGAACTCTCTGGAGCTCGGTGGCCAGTGATGGCCATTGTGCTTCTTGTTACTAGTAGCTACTTGCTCCTAGTAGTACGGCCAGGAGCCCCTAGTAGCATCCTTGCTTCTAGTAGCGATGCCAGCAGCCCCTAGTAGCTTCTTGTTACTAGTAGCTCGCGGTTGAGACACCCAGACCTTTCTTCATCTACACGATTGAGGTTTTTCATGTTTCTCTTTGTGTCACTCGTGCTTTTTGCAATAGGTACTAGCAGTCATACCGACTTTCTTTTCGGTGTCTTTTTCTTTCTTTTCCGAGGACTTCATTCTCGGGGAGCTGGTGCCAAGCATTTTGATTGGTCTGGGCTTCTTCCCCGAGCACCTTGGTACCCGAAGCTCTGGACATACAAAAACCAAGTTAACAAAGAAAGATCTCGAACTTTGGCTGTCGGTTTTCTTTTGGAGGTTTGGGTGTTGATTTCGGTGTGACCGAATGTGACCTTTGCAAGCATCAGTCACTCGAGAAGAGAACAATGCCACTTGATCTCCGATACCGCCGATACCCATCAAGAACCATTTGACAAAAGACACTGTGAGCAGAACACTGTGAGCTGCTCGGCTGCGAGCAGAACGCTCTGCTGCGCTCGGCTGCGTTTGAGGTTCTATGAGTTCATTAGCAGCATGTCCATCGAAGGTTACTCCTTTGGGGTGACCGCCTTCGATGTCATTGGCTCGGCGGGAAACACTGTGGTCTACTTCATGCGGGACCGCCGGTGGTGTGAGGGGAATAGGACCCAGAGGAAGCTTTTGGAAGTGACTTGGTTTCTTGACGTGTTGGATTTCCAAGAGATACCCCAAGAGGCCAATAGATCCCTTCTGGTGTTCAGATTTCCTGCAACCAAAACTGGCTTCCTTCTCTCAAAGATTTGTTCCAGACTGAATCAGAACTATAGTCTTCGGGTGAAAGCTCACATGTCCGTTGCACGGGAGCTTGCCAAGCAAGTCACCCCCAAACAGGAAGACGAATCCTGGGGCGAGAGGATCAGTGAGGCTGGCATGCCAAAATTCAGACTTCAAGCATCTTCAGACATTTTTTTGAGAAGTGTGGTTTGTTCTCTTTTTCATCTTCCGCCTGCGAGTGAGCTGCAGAGCTGCTCACCCTTCTGGAAACGATAAACGACAAACGCAGGCTTCACCCTTCTTGACCATCATCGTCATGCACGTGATCCTGGTGATCCTGGCTGTTTGGGTCGTTTGGCATGCGCCCAGCGTCAAGAAGGAGATCTCGGACAGCGATGCCTCCACGGACGCCTCCGGGGCCACGGAGACGTCCCAGGAGGTCTGACGAAACGTCAAAGCCGGGCTTCGAAAAAACACCACCCGGGCTGCCCTGTAGAGTTTTGCTTTAGAGGCCATCAGGCCATCGCTAGTAGGGATATCCCATGCGACTTCTTTTGACTGAGCAGTGCAGCAAAAAAACACGACATGTTCGTTGATAAGTAACACTTGTGAGGCAATGCAAACCAAGAACCCACATTTTTTAAAAGTGCCAAGCCATTGGCCTGCTGTTCAAGTTGTGTAGTTGGTACAAGCACTTGAACCAAGAGAGGAACCTGAACTCTATAAAGCCTGGATCAAGTGATCCTTCATCCAGCCTCAGAAGGCCAGAGTCGCCAGGGGGGGCAGAGCCGGTCTGCCAAGGGGAGGCCATGCCCGCCTGGTTCACGGCTGTTGATGAAATTCAAGTGGCTACAGTCCACAGATCTTCGGTCAAAATATTCGACCGACTGCATGTGCCTAGAGATCACAAGCTTGATTCACAGGAAGCTCACTGGAGGTTGCTTCCCAAATCGATGGATAGAACGAGCAGGAACAAAGTGCTATCGAATAGATATGAACATGTCCTTTTGCTTCCGGAGAATCTATGCATGTCAGGCGGCTTCTTCCTGACCTGCACAGCCAGCAAGCGTGGCTCAGGTACAGTTGTAGAGCCCGTAGAGCCTCGTGTTTAATGAGGACTTGGATTGCTTGTCGAATTGGCAACGCCAAGCTCCTTGGATCACCCGCTTGCTTTGCATGTGCCAAGCTGCAACTTCCCTCCCCGGGAATGCAGAAAAAATCCCAGACCGTCAAGACCCCAAAGATAGCTCAAGCAGCGAAGGCACAACTCTTCTCCCCAATCCTTTGAACACGTGCTTCAGTGCGTTCTGCGCTGCAGGCTGTTGGAGATGGCCAAGAGGGCCTGCGCGAAAATACATCAAAAAGGGAACACATTGCTCATTGCCACGTCACATGCACTGTGCCATGCCCCTGTGCCATCACGCGGCCCATGTCCAGTCATATTCCATCGCAACATCCAGTCTTTCAGTTCTTGAGAAAATCGACTATGATAGCAATGGCCTCCAACCTACTTCCGATGGCCTAGTAGCTTCTTGTTACTAGAGCAGCTTTAGTAGCACTGGCCTCCAAGGACCTGGCACGAAGCGCGGCGGATGCACCACGCATGGGCGGCCTGGCATTGGTGGCTTCAGGCAATGAAGTCCTCAGGCTGGTTGGCTCGAACCCGAGAGGTGGAGAGAGAGGATGGGAAAGAACTAGGGAGCAAGAACGCTACTAGGGGCTCCTGGCCGTACTACTAGGAGCAAGAACGCTACTAGGAGCAAAGGGCATCGCTACTAGGAGCAAGGATGCTACTAGGGGCGCTCCTGGCCTTACTAGTAGGAAAAAAGAAGCTCCACAAAAAAGAACAGGAATCGGTCATTGTTGGAGGCCATTGCTAGTAGGTTGGAGGCCATTTGCCTTACAATCGGTCGCACAGAAGGCTTTGTGGCAGCAAGGGGTGTTTCCCAGAGCGTCCTTGCTCAATTCGTGCGTGTGCGAAACAAAAGGATGTCATACTATGCCCTCGAAGCGTGCGGCGGTCCAGGGCACTGCAAGCAGTTCATAACAGATGCAACCGGTGCCACGGGTTTTGAGGTGCACTTAGTGATGTCAGTCTTTGGATACTTTCGCCGGGCCTACAGGAGGTTATTGGGCTAGAAGCCGTCCATTGTTACATCTATATGCACCGTGCACAGCGTGCACATTGGCTCCGTTCCATCCCCGTCCCCCCCCTGTTCGCCAGGCGCTTGGACATCCACAATAGCTTCGAGGTCAGTAGCGAGTGGCTTGTGAGGCGTGCTGTGCCATGCTGAGACGCTCAGAGAACTGTTCCCGATTTCGGTGCGTTGATGGTTCTGGCTTTGGTTCGTCAACATGCAGAATGCATGTAAATACCATTGGAATTTGCAACCTGTGAAGATGTCCTAGTTTGTTTTGCCATGATCATTGAATGCAATCATGGGGCTCTGCTGGTCAGGCTGTCAGCCTTGCATTTGCTGATAGCCGCCTTTTCCTTGGCATGCCAACCACAGGCGCCGCGCACCGACTCGGATTCTTCATTGATACACTCCAAGTGAATAGGTTTGGAGTGAGGAACCAGAAAAGCAAATAAGAAAATGTAACCACTCTTAGGTTGGAGGCCATCGCCACTAGGTTAAGCACAAACTCAATAAGAACAACTTTCGTTTGCTACCATGTGTGTCACATGTCATCTCTTCAGACCTGGTAGACCTCCGGGAGGCACGATTGATGGAACTGTGAAGAACTCAAAGGTTCATATAGTCCAGGAGGATGCAGAACTAATAGCGTCCTTGCTCCTAGTAGCGATGCCAGCTAGGGGCTCCAACCTATGAAGAGCTCAAAGGTGATTGGCGTAGCTAAGTGAGCACACTAGCGGCTTGCCATGCAGAGCTCATTCATGCCGCATTGAGAGTAGCGGAAGCCTGTCGGTGACGTGACGTATTTTAAGAGACTGTTCGCCGAGTTTTGAAAGCTCACCATGCTTGAGCTGGGCATTGGGTCAGGTGGTGCAACTTCCCGATGAGGAGGAGACACCAGCAAGGGCGAAAGTGGTAAAAGTGGCGAAAGCCCGGTGAGCCAACTCGTTCGAGGTCCATCGGGAGCTGTGAATGTCGAGATTTCGAGGTCCAGGATGAGAGACACCATGTGAGACACCATGGAAAAGCATGCATCACATAGGATCACATCAAATCCGCCCTTTTCTTCGTGTCAGCTGCGTCAGCTCCTGATCCGAACAAAGAGCTTCAGGATGTTTTGTCACCCCGGCTGGCCAGCAGCAGCGGCTGCAAGTTTTCTGCCACATTGGCACCATCTCTGTAGTAAGAAAAGAGACGCAGCACAAGCTCTGCCATGAACATGTTTGATTGAAACATGTGGAAAACAGGTGGCCGCTGAGCGAGTGTCTTTTCATCAAGCCATCAGCGTTCCCCCATTCTCACTTTGTCGAATGCCAAGTAAGGACCCAACAAGGAGAACGTCCCAGCGGCATCCCTTCAACCTCCTTCAAGCAATAACCTCGCAATGGCCTCCAACCTAAGAGCGGCTTCAAGCTAGTGGCGATGGCATCCAACCTACTGTACTAGCGATGGCCTCTAACATAGTGGCAAACTTGCTAGGAATTAATGTCAAGCTCTTTGAAGCCCTTCGGCTCAGCTTGAGTTGGTGCCGCCCACGAACGAGGCCGTGATCATGGAGGTGGCTTCGAAACTCCCCATTGAGCGGGCAGAGCGCATCGCCAAGGTGCCGCGGCGGTGCCAGAGCTCTTCCCTTTTGGGCTCGTTTTGCATGTCTTTGTTGAAGGGTCAGAACCCGCGTTGTCCTTGAAGAACTGGCGCCTGGTTCGTCATTTCACCCTTGGTGAACTCGTGGTCTCTTTGCTCGCTAAAGAACACGCTCAGGGCCAAACCTCCGCTGCAAGACAATCATGAAATGAAAAATTTTAATTCTAATAGCTGTTTGTTACTACTAGTAAGGCACTTGTTACTACTAGCGTGGCACTTGTTACTAGTAGTAACAAGAAGCTAGTAGTGAAGAAATGTGAGGAGAACGGTTGGCACATCTCTTTCCAAAAAAACGGAAAAAGGTCCTAGTAGATTTCTTTGCTAGTAATTACAATTCCAATTAATTTCTTATTGTTACTAGTAGCGATGCACTTGTTACTAGTAGCTTCCTACCCCCCCCCAGACAACGGTTGGCACATCTTTTTCCAAAAGAACGGACAGCTCCAAGAGTTTGCAGGCATTCGAGCGGTTCGATGAAGACCACAATGGTGGCATCTCCTTGGAGGCGAGACGGCGTTTTTGTCGGCCATCGCGCCATTCGGTTGAGAGTTGGAGGCACGCGGTGACTTTGCATGTTTTGTCTTCGCCCGTCCAGGAGCTGCAAAGACTTTTTGCCAAGATGGGGCTCAAGGAGAGGGAATTTGCAAGCTGCAAGTAGAGCCTAAGTCAGGAGACCAACGACCAACCAGAAACCAAAAGGCCGACACCCCTTTGTTTAGGAGCTTTCCTTTTAGATGTTGGCTGAAATCAGAGGGCGGGCTATCCATGTTGAAGTTTGGGCAGGACAAATCCTTGCAAACACGGGCCTTTCAAGCGTGCAAAACTCAGTCTTACTTGCACAACAGCGAGCCTTGTTCTGTAAACTATTGACTAAATGGAAGCTTACACTATTTTGGTTGGAGGCCATCGCTCTTAGGTTGGAGGCCCGGCCATTACTCTCTATTGACTCATTGGAAGCTTACACATGCTTACAGCCTTTTGAGGAGCTCCTTGACTCCTTGATGGAAAAAATTGTGCACCATTTGTGCTCAGTTGGTGCAACTCAACTGTCTCACGATCTTCAAAACACGCCAGCTGAGTTTGTCACCAAACCAAATCAGATCGCCATAACAGTGCAGCCCCAACAAGTTGAGATAAGCAACCTGAGGGTTTTCAAAGACCCTGCTCACTAAATGTGAAGACCCGAGACTCAGAATCGCCATGTATATAAATTGTTACATCTATTCCCTCTACTTTGAAGGTTGCTCTATTCGTCAGTTTTAAGGCAGAAGTGATTTGATCCAACCTGAATTCTTTCAACTCGAAAATCCAACAATTTCCTGTGGCGCCATCCGCCATAGTCATAAACTTGTCATGGCCTCCACGAAAGTCTTCTTCGGCAAGAAGGAGCTGGACGCTATTAGAAACAAATGCATCGCTAGTAGTAACAAGTGCCACGCTAGTAGTAACAAGTGCCTTACTAGTAGTAACAAGAAGCTATTAGAAGCAAGTGCCTTACTACTAGGAGCAAGAAGCTACTAGGGGCTCCTGGCCTTACTAGTAGTAACAATTTTGCTAGAAACAAAGAAGGAGCTGGACGCTATTAGAAACAAGTGCATCGCTAGTAGTAACAAGTGCCAAGCTAGTAGTAACAGGTGCCTTACTAGTAGTAACAAGAAGCTATTAAATACAATTCTAATTAATAGCTTATTGTTGCTAGTAGTAAGGCACGTGTTACTGGTAGTAACAAAGAAGGAGCTGGACGCCTCCGTCTTTGGGATCGCCAACCATTGGGCTTTGCACGTTGGAGACTGCTGGTATGAGGTTGCAGGTCGGGCCTGTAGGGTTATCACGTCAACTGCTGACTCACCCAGCGATGTTGAAATTTACCACAAGGCAATCCAATTGAAAATCCATATGAATCCACAAATCAGTTTAGATGGCTCTTCCCATTTCAGAGGGGAAGATGAAGCAGTCAAGTCCGAGATTGGTGCGGAGACGCAACAGCGCATTGGCTACACCAACCGCACCAAGCAAGAGATCCAACAATTCAACTATGACTGGCTGAAGATGCATCCCACCTACCACATTCTCCATCACAACTGCCAAGTCTACGTCAGAGATTTGGCAGGTTTCCTGGGAGTGGAGATCCCGGAGGCATACGATCAGCATCGCCACCTCGACAACGCAGTCAGTAGCGGGAAGTTCTTTCTTGGAATTGGCGGGAACTTCCAAGGATGAGGAGGTGCGCTTGGTGCATCTCAAGGTTTACAACCTCGCATTAGGTGGGTGGCCATCGCTATCAGCGTTCGGTTTAAAAGCAAGGTCAACAAGCCCCATTTTTGAGACCGTACTAGTAGCTTCTTGTTCCTAGTAGCGATGGCCTCCAACCTAATAGCGATGGCCTCCACCTAGTAGCGTCCTTGCTACTATTGCTTTTGTCTCGATTGCTTTAACATGCAGAGGCTGCAGGTCGCTTTGAACAGAGCGTCCAGCCTTGTAATGAAGACTGCTCATGTCTAGTGGACTGCCGGATCACCCGCCAAAGGTCAGGAGTCAAAAAGGTTTGTAGTAGCGATGCACTTGTTACTACTAGCGTCCTTGTTACTACTAGTAAGGCACTTGTTACTAGAAGCGATGCACTTGTTCCTAATAGCTTCTTGTTTTTACTGCCGTTCGACAGGTGTTGTGACTGAGAGATTTTCTAGGACTTTCTGACGTCAAAGATTTCTGGCATCGCAACGACGGCGGAGAGCTTCATGTGTTGTTCTAATGAGTCTCTTGTGGCCCCGCTTGCCAAGGGTCTCGCCAACTTGGGGACCCCACAGCAGAGCTTCAAAGTGTTTTGGGGCATGGCCGCCATGGCCACCACGGCCACCACAGCACTGACTTCTCTTTTGGAAACATGACATTAACGGACCATACCCCAACAGGGGTGGCCTCCAACCCATTTGCGATGGCCTCCAGCCACATGCTTGAGAATTCGCTTTGAGAGTTGGACTGGGACTTTTTGTCTTGGAGAGGTGGGGGTGGCTGCTGTGGGTGGCTGCCTCCCAGACAGATTCGTCTCCGACAGCCACGATTCGTCGAGAAAACAGAACCATTCGATCAAACGCCAGAAAGGGGTAGAGTCGGTAGAGCAAGAAAGAAGTCGAAGAAAAGGGACAGATCTAGAAACGAACCAGAAATGATGAGTCCCGATTGGAAACGCGATCCACCCTTGAGGCGTGCCTGACCGGTGTTGATGTAATTGGTTTTCTTGAGGCTTGACATCAACGGAGATGGTGATTTGAGCTTCAGCGAGTTTGCAGCAGGAGTCCTGCGCCGTCCTCAGACTTGACGAGGTGCAGTGGCTTACTTGCTCAATTCTAAGCTATTTCATGCAACAGAACTTGACTCATCTCCGACTCTGCCGCTCACTATGGGCCAAGGAGAGTCTTTACAGAGCTCTTGGAGGACTTTGGGAGAGACGACCAACCGAATTCTCCAGATGCGCCATCAACACCAACACACAAATGTTATTGCATGTGGGACGTGAAGCACGAAGATTGGGTGCATGATCTCTGGCGGTTTGGATCACTGCTCTTTTTTTGCACTTGTCAGGAGCGGTTTTTAGAACTCTTCCGAAGGTATGACTTGGACTCTGATGGCATGCAAGGCTCTAAGAATGTCCCACACCTGTCTTACACGTTCCCTAAAATTGTATGAATGCCTCGATGCGCAGTTTGCTTTCAAAGTTTGGAGCGACTTTGACGGGTGACATGCCCACCCTTTCAAGGGTCTTTATCGAACAAAGAACCCCTCAGGTTGAGCCGGGCAGAGCTCGAGAAGTTTGTGGAGAAGGTGCCATCAGACCAAGATTTTGGAGATCAAATCCAAACCATGGACCAAAACCATGAAAACTGATCACCTCATTGCTGGTTAGCCACCTGTTGTTGCTTCTTTTTGTTATGATCAATGTGCGAAACACGCCAAGCTTTAGCACGCAGGTTCTGCCTTTAGCCAACCGTTCTGTACAGCAGAGCCCGGTGATATGCTCAGGAAGACACACTTTAGGTCTCCCCACTGTGGGAGGGAAAAATCTGATGTGTCAGAAAGGATTGAGATTGTCAGGCCAGTGGCACAGCCCGCAAGTGATACCGGTCACCTGCTTGAAGATGTGTTGTTTGTTTGGCCCCCTTGAACACATTCAATCTATGATGCATCGCCAGTTACGCGGGTGACGTTTTGCAATGGCCGCTTGGGCCGCTTTGCATGTGTTTCATGCAAAAAATAACAAGTAGCAAGAGGAACCTAATAGCGATGGCCTCCACCCTAGCAGCGATGGCCTCCAATCTAATAGCGGTCGATGCAATTGCCTGTTTCCAAGGAGGCGGCAATCAGCCAGCTTTTCGGCGATCAGGAGTCCATCAGTTTCGAGGACAGCGCAACGGGACGAAGAGAGAAAGGAAAGAGAAAGGGGTGAAACAATTGTTTAACATGGATTGTGAATTGTAAAAGAAAATGCCACCAAGCTATTGATTGAGCATTGTTGGCTAGGGATGCTTTTGATGTCTCTTCTTTTCTGGCGTTGTTAATTGTGTGCTTTTGTGCTCAAGTAGGTTGGAGGCCATTGCTACTAGTAGCAAGGACGCAGTTTGGCCGCCCTGTGGCCGTCAGGAGTTGAGAACACAGCTTCTCCCCGGCAAAAGGCTGAGGAGATAAAGGACGAGAACAGCCTGTGTGCTCAGTGTGCTCCTCACTGTCACTGGTCGGAGCCTCAGTGTGCTCGGTCGTCGTTCAGTCTCCGTGCAAGTCTGGCTTTGGAGACTTTCTCACAACTCGGCCACAGGAAGATGTGTGCACCAGCGGCTGAGAGAGAAAAAGAGCGAGTCCAGATGAGTCCAGAGAACCAGACAGAAGGAAGCTCCAAACCTCGTGTGCGACGCCTGGTGGAACAGATGGTCAAAGCAACTGGGCCCATGTTGTTCCAGGGAGTGGATGATGTGATTGGCGGATTGATGTTTCAATACATGAATCAATTCATGAAAAGCATGTCCCGTGTTGAACAGGCAGGGCAAGGTCTTCATGATGCCTTCTTCAGCGAGTCAATCAAAGAAAACATCCACAGGAAACACTGCTCTTCATGTTTTTCAGCTGATCTATATGAGAGACACTTTCTTTGTACGTATAAGCTTACAGGCAACCTTCCGCTGATACCACAGCCCCACATTGCTTTGAAGGTTTCATGAAACGAGGCTTGGATGTCGATAGTATTATGTAGTAGTTACTAGGCTGTGAAGTAAAAAAGAGTTTGGGCGTTTGCAGGCATATTTGCTCAAAGTAACGGGGTTCTGAGCGGCTGCGCCACTTGAACTGCACAGTGTTGGAGCCGCTGGGCTGCAAGCATCCAAGGGCCAAGACATCCGGGGTCCCAAACTAGAATATATCCAAAGATGCTGGTTTGGCCTGTCCCTATGTAACTAGTAACTCTAGTAATATGGTTTGGCTTGGCCACTTCGCACATGAGCCCTAAAACTCACACCACCGAAGGACTGTGCATCCTCAAACCGGCCATGCTTCTCGCCCCCAGATGGTCAAACCGACGTAGGCCATGGGCGATCAACATCAAGTCCATGTCTGGGAGAACACCTACATCATGGCTCCCAAGGAGATGGGATCCAGGGCATCCAGGGATCGATCAAAGCTGGCTTTCGTCTGCGTGGAAAAACAGACGAGCCTAGACGCCAGCGACAATCTCACCAGAGAGGTTGTGTCAACGTTGGGGAAACGAGCTGTGCCCTGCGAAGGACAATGAAAAGATGCTGCCTTCAAAGGTCACTGCGGTCATCAAGAACGTGATGGATAGCTACCTGCAGGCCAAACAGACATAAACAGACTCTATGCAAATGAGATGTCATGAAGTAGTTGTGAATGAGGGTTGTAAGCATCCAATCCAAACAGATAAGATGTAGTTCTTCCAGACCTTGTTTGCTGCAATCCTTCAACATACAACCGTCTTTGTGCCAGGACAAGGAATACGTGGCAGAAGATGCCAAAGCTTGGACACTGGAGATGAGCAACGAGATCAAGGTGGAACATGAACAACCATCATAGGATGTCATGGACACAGAATTCTGATCACATGTTGAAGGTCATAAACCCTGTTTGTAGGCCACCTCAGACCTTGAAAGGCGTCCACGATTGCAAGATCATTTCAAGTCAAACAGCATGCACCTAACCTAGGACATCCAGTAAATTCATCCAGCCTATCCACACTATCCAACCCACTTGCTTCCGAAAGAGTATATCAGCGACAAAGCGCGTGGCCGTTGGTTTGGAGACCGACTTGCAATAGAGCTTTCCTTTGCTGGCAGAACTCCATGAAGACGGATTTGAACATCCCTCGCTACAAGATCATCGTGCAGGCTGTGAGTGGCATCGAAGAGACATCGCTGAAATAGCAGGTCAGATAGCTAAGCAGGTGATGATCATTTTTGTAGCTTCTTGTTACTAGTAGCGTGGCACCTGTTACTACTAGCGTGGCACTTGTTACTAGTACAGGTCAGATAGGTAGCCTTGCGTTGGGTGTGAGTCCTGTTATTCACCGTTGGAAACTCACAAAAATGATGGCGTCCGCTCGTCCAGGTGATTATCGGAGAACAGGCGTCCCAGGCGGGTGATCTTCGGATCTGGTCTGATAGGGACCTGTGGAAGTTCCAAAAGGCGTCAGGCTGGATCTGACCTTTTTTGTGCCAGGGCATTCGTGTGGCTTCGAAGTGCCTTTGGGATGTCCTACTGACATGTTTTTGTGAGATATGACCGGAGACGTGCCGCGACGCGCCTGAAAGATCCTGAAAGCTTGGTAGATTGTGGAATGTTTAGAAGGCAATTTTGCACAGGATGTGATGTGCATGTCCCCATGATTCGAGAACAGGTGAACTCCGACAACTGGGCCTCCTACACCTTCCAAAACCAGTCGCTTTTTGCCGTAGGCTCTCAACTTAGCAAGGCTCAGCAAGGAGCGGCAGAGCGTCGGAGCAGCTTGATGTTTTGTCCTACGTTGCTGACTTGATAGTGGAACATGGTGGAGTGCTTCGAGATAGTCGCCATAGTCCCCAGTTTCTTGAGATTGGGGAAACAGAGCTTTATCACTGAGGCATGGTCTTCGGTTGCTACTATGAGTAGATATGTGGAGGCCTCGCATTTTGCCACGGCATTTTGTTGAAGATGCCAGGACGTACGAGAAAAGAAACGAAAGAAAACCAAGAGAATTGCAGCAAGAAAGGTCTGAAGGTCAAAAGAAAGATGAAAGCGTTCTCGTTGACCGACGGAGTTGATGACAAGGAGACGATTGCCAGGTGAATGGGTGCCGTACAGACCACATTGAGCGCTCGAGAGTCTCACTTGATACTTGCGGACGGCATTGCTGAAAGTGTTCTAACATTACTCCAGCATTGCTGAATGAAAAAACCACTCACACAACGTCACACAACCCCTAGACAGTCTCATATCAAGTGAGCATGCAACCTGCACAAGAACAGCCTTGCACCCAAGAATTGACATGACCAGCATTAAAGCGATGGAAGACAGCAGGGCTCGACGAAGCCACTTGACAAACAGCTCCAATGCTGCGCATCCCATGTGCCATGAGACTGTGAATTCGAGAGCTTGCATCATGGCCAAACGAAAAAGAGGGAGAGAGAGTGAGTGTGTGAGACTGTGAGAGAGAGAGAGAGAGAGTTAGAGAGGGATACTGTAAATATATATATATGATCTTTTGTCCCCATGATTAATCACAGAGCGGGTCACGTTTTTCACCGTAGCATTGGGGCTTAAGAAGGCTTTTTGGATGGGAGGGGGTGACACCCCCCTCCCAGTCTGCGACCGCTGCCGGCATTTCGTAGTCCGTGAGAGCGGGCTACAGACCTGTGGGCCTTGCCGGAAAGGCTACCAGCTGCTTGTGTCGTTGAGGTCGGTTGTGAAGCCGGAGGACGACGAGGCGGCGGTCGTGTACCTGGAAGGCTGCTTCGGCCTTCTGGAGGATTGGATCGGGGAAGTTAAGAACCTCGAGAAGAAGGAAGAGAAGAAGCCCCGAGGAAGATCCAAAGAGAAGAAGAGGAGACGAAGTGAGGATAAGCCCCTGAAGAGACAGACCATCAAGCCAGCCCCGCATCCGCTTCAAAGACAGCCCAGTCAGCCCCAGAACCAGCACCAGAGCCTGCCCGTTCCTCAGCCAGCCGCCCATCAGTGTCCAGCAGGGTGCTACCTCCGCCCAGGGCACCCCCCGTTCCAGTACCAGGGCCAACCCACGGGAGTGTTGCACTGGTTGAGAACTCCCAGACAAGAGCACCAAGACCCAGCAAGAGAGAGCAGGAGGAGGCCGTGCGCAGTGATCCCCAAGCGGTGAACCTGGCCCCAAAGGTCAAGCCATCTCCGTCTAGCAAGCCAACAGCCGAGCGGACAGGAGAGACCAGCGCAGCCGACCCGGAGAAAAAGGAAGCGGCAAAGAAGGCTAAGAGAAGGGAGTCAGGCAGTAAGACTCCCAGCCGCTCGGAAAGGAAGAGGTCAAGAAGGCGAAGAAGAAGCCAGGAGGGAGAGAAGGAGAGGCGTCGGAGGAGGAGAAGGACTTCGAGCCGCTCTTCATCAGTGTCCGGTTCAAGAGTGAGGGAGAACAAGAAGAAGGAGAGGAAGACCAGACCGGCAACCCCTCCTCGGCCCAGAAGTCCCCACACACCACCGGGACCACCCCCTCCTCCAGCACCGCCTCCATTGCCACCACCGGCCCAGCAGAGGGGGTGGATTGGAGCAATCCCCTGGTCCAACCACCCAAGGTGGTATGTGGGAAAAAATAAAGGGATCACTCGCCGCGCCAAGCAGGAACTCCACGATCGGCAATGGCGCCGAAGGTGAGAGCCAGGCCGGCGACCAGATCTCCGGCCATCCGAAGAAAGCCTGCCGCGAAGACCGACGACCTGCCCGTGAGTGAGTTCCATTACTTGCGGGAGTTGGCTGCAGCACAGCTCCGGTGCCTGGGCCTGATCGAGCTAGGAGACGCCAGATACTATGAGGGGCATGTGAAGGTCGCAGGGCGCATCGTTGGCCTGGGACAAGACGAAGATTTCCTGGAGTTTCGTGTGTCAGGTACGCAGACGGAAGGACTCTTGGACATGTTTGGAGATCCGGCCAAGCGTACTATGCAGCTTCACATCTGCCAGAAAGATTGCTCGTGGCAGCCAACAGGTGAAGACATCCTTCATGCTTCAGGCTATTGGATTGTTGGAGACGACAAGTTGCCATGGCATACATTGCTGGAGGAGAAGTCGTTGAAGCCAGAGGAGCATGATGAGCTGTCGCGTTTGAGGGCGTTGCATGAGGAGAGGCGTGAGAAAGTGGTAGGGGAGAAAGGTTCTCCCAGTGAAGCAGGTGGAGAGAAGGCCAGGGACAAGAAGAAGAAAAGGAAGCACAAGGACAAGAAGGAACGATCTCGGAAGCGAGAAGCCAAGGAGGAGGAAGGCATTGCAGTGCTTGAGCAAGGGCAGAAGTCGCTGTCGGCATTGTACGAAGGGACTTGCCTGGACCCCATCGCCGAGGCCCGCAGTAAGCTGCTGAAGAAGGCGAGACGCTGTGGTGCAAAGGGATCCAGGAAGAGGAAGCATTCTTCGAGCGAGGGCACCGATAGTTCGAGCTCTTCAAGCGAGTCGGAGGCTGAGGAGTTTGGAGAGGGGCTCTTCGAGGAGCGCAAGCGAGCCCTTCGGTTGACGCAGCGATATCCGGGGAGTTTGGCAGCGCAAACAGTGGCCAACATGAAAGATTCCCTGCTCACCCAGTCTGGTAGCCTGTATTCACAGGATCGGAAGAGCCTACCACCGATCTTCTCGCAATATTTTAGGCTGGAGATGCAGCCGCTTTGTTCGCCATCGATGAGCCAGGAGCTTCTCACGTTGTCGCAGGGGGCCGATCTGCTTCTTCGTGGTCACCCGGCTCGGGCTTTGGACCTGTTGGCCCAGAGAGTTAAGGCTCTCGATCAGCAGATTCGAGGCGGGCACTGGACGGTTGCAAGACAGTTAGAACTTGTCAGTGCTGACTCGGCTGGTCTAAGCAAAGGCCCGGAAGGGCAGGAGGCAGCAAAGCTGGCAAGAGAAGAACTTCGAGATCGATTGGCTTCTCAAAGACCATATGGGTCAGGCAGTGGATCAGGCGGCCGCGAGAAGGGAGAAGGAGCTGGGAAAGGAAAGGATCGTTATCCCTCCGGAGGAGAGAAAGGAAAGGGCGAAAAAGGCAAGAGAGAGAAGGGAAAGGGCAAAAGAAAAAATGAGTAGCAAAAGCCGAAAGAGGGACTCCAAAGGAGGGTTGAGAGACGGTCCAAGTGAGAGTGCAAAAAGGTCTGGAGAGGAGGCAGCATTGAGAGAAGGTGCATTGGTTGATACATTGGGCGCAAGTGAGGATGGTGCGATAGAGAGGCTGTTGGATGAGAGTGCGACGATGGGCTATCAAATGAGGGCTGAGCGTGACAAGTTGGGGAGAGGAGATTTTGAAGGGAGTGTGGACTCCCAGTGTCGTGAGGCATTGAGAGGGCGTGCCGATGACATTGGTGGGTCTGCAGTTGAAGTTCTAAGGGAGCAGGACTCCCAGCACTCTGGACGTTGTGGAGAGATGTCTGGGCGTGTTGAAGGAGGAGCTGCTCCAATGGCTGATACCTCCCCGCCGGTGAGCGGGTTGAGACGGACGTTGTTGGAAGCAAGCAGGCGGCAAGCATTTGAGGAGTGTCGTCACTACCTTGCCACGACATGTCAAAAAAAAGGAGTTGCGTTTTGAGGAGCTTGGGGAGGTGCTTCTAGAGGCGTTGAAGGTTCAGGAGCAAACGTATGCGCGTTGCAGCGAGGCCAAGGGGGACTTGTTCCCCTTGCCCGTACCTTCAACTCTGGAGACCTCGGGTTCCCCATTGTTTTGTGCAGATGCATTGGTGCAAGCGTTGAATTCGTTGTACGGGACCAGGACTATCAAGAGGAACAGAGAGGATAGCACTAGATTGAAATTGGTTGAAAGGTTGAAGAAGGTGGTTGATGAGGCAGAGCTAGGAGGTCGTGAGGTGCCTGATATTGGATTTGGGGACTTCTTCAAAAGCCGCTCAGTAGACTACTCCGGAGAGATTGTTCAAGTCGCTCGTCGCTTCGATTGGAGGATGATTGAGGCCGCATTTCCGGAGGCGGTAGGCAGTCTTTGTCTCGAGGAATTCTGCGAGGGAGAACGTTGGCTTATGTCCAGCATTTCGAAGATTTCCTTTTGCCGCCCCAGGATCAGCACTTGGGAAAGACGCCAAGCATTATGGTCGAGGCCAGCCACTGGGCCGAAGTGTGCACGGGACTGTTGAGGAGGGGTGTGTGTCGACTCATGCATGTTAGTGAGCTGCACCATGTTGGTGACCGTCCTTTGATGAACGGACTGTTTGCTGTTAGCAAGCAGGAGCAGGCCGTTGACTCGCTGGGAAATGAGTTTGAAGTGTGTAGATTAATCATGAACCTAGTACCCACCAACGGTTGCTGCCGAAGCCTAGTGGGGGACACCTCTACGCTACCAAGTGTGGTAGGAATGAGCTCTGTTGTACTTGATGACAATCAGTTGTTGGTGACCTCTTCGGAAGACATACGTTGCTTCTTTTACCTTTTCCGGACTCCAGCCAGCTGGTGGAAATACATGGGGTTTGGACGGGAGGTCCCCTCAGAGGCTCTCCCAAAGGGCTATGAAGGAACAGGGTGGCATTTGGCGACGCAGGTGTTGCCCATGGGGTTCATAAACTCTGTTGCTATAGCTCAGCACGTACACAGGAGGGTGATCAACCAGGCTTTGAAAGGCGATGCAAGGTTGGCGTCCGGACACCAGGAGATCAGGCGAGATCGGCCACCCAGCTGTGCGCCACACCTCTTTAGGGTCTACCTTGACAACTACGATGAGCTAAAAAAGGTGGATAGGACTCTGGCCGGAATACTTTCAGGCACCCCCTCAGCATGGACGTTGGCAGTCAGGCAAACTTATGAGACGCTTGGACTTCCACGGCACCCCAAGAAAGCAGTGACACAGGCAGTCAAGGCAGAGGTACAGGGAGCTTGGGTCGATGGTGAACTAGGCAGAGCCAGCCCGAAGCCCGAAAAGGTGATGAGGTATGTGAGGCTGGCTTGTGAGGCCGTGGTCCAAGGGAAGGCTTCCCAAAGGGAGCTCCAGGTGATTGGAGGAGGCTTCGTGTACATTGCTATGTTTAGGCGCCCTCTTCTGTCGGGGCTGAATGCCATTTGGAAACGCGTGGTTGAGTTGGAGGGGCTAAAGCCCACTCAACGGGCGAGCCTGGGACCGGAGGTAGAGCATGAGATCTTGCGCTTTGTTGCTTTGACTCCTTTGGCGTACATGGACTTTCGCACCCCGGTCTCGGAGAAGGTGACCGCGAGCGATGCCTCCACTACAGGGGGAGGTTTGTGTGTGTCGCGAAGTGTTAGTCCCTATGGGGTCGCAGCAAGCCTGGCAAGTTGTAGGGGAGATGTGATCTCCCAGGATGAGGTGGGCGCCATCTTGGTTGTATCCCTTTTCGATGGGATTGGAGCTCTTCGAATCGCCGTTGACTCGCTTCAGGTGCCGGTTGCTGGTTATGTTGCTGCGGAAATTTGCTCAGAAGCCCGACGAGTAGTGGAAAGTTGGTTCCCCGAGGTTGTGGCCCTTGAGGACGTACAGAGCATTGATGAGCACGAGGTCAGTAGTTGGTGTCTGAGATTCCCCAGTGTATGCGCGGTCCTCCTCGGCGCTGGACCCCCATGTCAGGGAGTGTCAGGGCTAAACTCGGATCGAAGGGGTGCATTGCGTGATGTGCGATCCTGCCTATTCGCTCATGTCCCACGGATTGAGGGCCTTCTGAAAAGGTTCTTCACATGGTGTCCAGTGTTCACTCTCATTGAGAATGTAGCCTCCATGGACGCCGAGGATTGCAAGGTGATGTCCCAGGCTTATGACATGACCCCGTGGCTTGTAGACTCCTCCGAGTTGTCACTGTGTCGGCGCCCCCGGTTGTACTGGTTCAACTGGGAGCCCAGGGCTCTCAAAGGAGCCTGCATCTGTCGTGAAGATCCTCATCGGTTGCCTTTGGCGGGAACTTTGCGGCTTGAAGCGGTGGTTGATGAGCGGGACTTCTTGGAGCCAGGCTGGAAAACTACAGCTAAAGGGGGGTTTCCTACCTTCACCACCTCACGGCCGGCCACTAAGCCGGGACGGAAACCCGCGGGACTAGCGTTGTGTCCTCCTGAGGCAGTAGCACGATGGCGTGCCGACCAACATCGGTTTCCGCCATACCAATACCGATGGGAGAACTCCGTGGTCAACTCCCAAGGCGTGGTGCGTGTTCCCTCCATAGTTGAACGAGAGGCGATTCTGGGTTTCCCTGTCCAGTACACGGCCAAGTGTCTTCCCAAGGCCGAAGCCGGGACCACCCGGGGGAGTGATTGTCGGTTGACCTTGTTAGGGAACAGTTGGTCGGTCCCTGTCGTAGCGTGCCTTTTGCATTGCCTGTTTGCCACTTTGGGCCTCAATGAGGAGAAGAGCGTTCAGGAGATCGTTGACAACTTGACTCCCGGAAAATGCCCCAACATGGCTGGTTTGTTGATGCGTCCGCCCCTGCGGCACACTACTGCCCCCCGGACAAGAGACCCATGGGCTGGTGCGGAAGCTCCTGGGACAGGTCTCAGTCAAAGGTGAAGACATCCTGTTGCAATTATCCACAGACATTCCCGCTCGGTATCATCGCCTAAGGGCGTCCATCCCCGGCAAGCTTTGGCGATGGCGTGATGTTGTTGGCTGGAGCTGGACAGGTGAGAAGGAGCACATCAACGCCCTAGAGCTCCGCGCAGTCAAGACCTCAATAGTGTGGCGGATCAAGGAACTTCAGGAGCATGGAAGCAAGTGCTTGCATCTCGTCGACTCGCTGGTCGTGTTGCATGCGTTGTCGCGTGGAAGGTCGAGTAGTCGGAAACTTCGAAGGACTCTTGCCAAAATTAGTGCGTTGTTGTTGGCTAGCGGGCTCCATGTAGCCTGGGGCTACATTGATACAAAGCAAAACCCGGCGGACCGACCGTCCCGCCGGCCGGTACGGAAGGGATGGCTAAAAGCACGAAGAAGATAGTTGAAGGCCGCAGCAAACAACAACGACAAAAAGTGCGCAAGAGTTTAGGAAAGTTGAAAGACCTCACAGTACAGCCACGTACCCGACATCGATATGACCACGCTTTGCGACAGTTCCTTGATTGGTTGACAAGGGAGGGTCTTCGGCTTCCCACCCAAGCCTCCCAGATGGATAACGTTGTCTCAGACTACCTCGAGTTCCTCTGGGCATCAGGAGAAGGAAAGTCAGTGGCAAACAATGCGCTTGCTGCCCTTCAGGACTATGAGCCCAGCCTAAAGAAGAAGTTGCCCGGCAGCTGGAGGCTGATGAAAGCTTGGAACTCTGCCGAAATTCCAAACAGGGCACCCCCTTTAACGTTGTCTCTGCTGAATGCCTTGTGTGGATGGAGCGTGATGCAAGACTGCCCGGAGTTTGGCTTGTCCCTGCGTGTTGCCTTTTTTGGTCTTCTGCGCACAGGCGAACTTTTAAGTTTACGTGCCAAAGATATCTACCTGAATACGCCGAAAGGACCGGCGGTCGTTTCCCTGGGCTTGACCAAGTCAGGTGCCCGCCAGGGGGCTGCGGAAAGCATTACCATTCATGACTCTTCTGTGATTCCAAGCCTCTACCGTTGGAAATGCCAAGCAAAGCCACATGACTTCCTCACAAGCAAACCTCATGCCTGGCGCAATCTTTTTAACCGCGCCATCGAAGGCCTCAAACTCCAAGAGTTTGCTTACCGACCCTACTCCCTTCGGAGGGGAGGGGCGACTTTTTTCTTCCAGCACCACGGAAGCTTCGACCGCCTTCTAGTCCAAGGACGGTGGGGAGCCGCGAAAACGGCTCGAATATACCTAAACGACGGACTAGCACAGCTATCCGAGATTTCGGTCCCTAATTCGCATTTGCGGCCCTTCCTTTTGTTGTATCAAAAGCACCCAATCCTTGAGCCTGGGCCCCGGAAGGCGCCCAGACCAGGGGGACGTGGAAAGCCCCGAAAAACCAGTCCTTTTTTCGCGTTTTCGAAGGGTTTC